ATAATTATAACGGGTTCACGATTTGTACTTCGTGTTTGAAACTGAATACTTCATTTACTAATTATGTTTGAATAAGTACATATCTACTGATTTCAATAAAGCAATATACATTATCAGCATTTGAGTTCATAACTCAAATAAAAGAAAGTAAATTTACTTGTTTTCTAAATTGTAACTATTTACAACAGGTGCTGGAACATTTTTTACATTATATAGATAATATTATGTCTTTCATTTTCTGTGGTCAGTCGTTGGTATTTAGACAGCTCATTATTTTACATCGACCACAGTTCATGCTATAAACATTACGCTGTGGATATTTTACTTTTACTTATTTTATCTGCACCCACCCTAATACTAAAATATTTAAATATTTATCATAGTTGTTATAACTATGAAATATAATGTTGGTAGAATAAAAATAAAATAATCAAGTGGCTGAATTATTGACCGAAATGAAACCAGATGTATATTCTTGATTTTGCCACCTCGAGAAGTATATAATATATATATATATATATTCAGCTTACATTTGAATTAATTTGACTTTAGACCAGAGAAAATATTATGTCTTAAAGGCAAATCGAAAATTCCAGTTTTTTACTACTCGTAATTCATCTCTAAAAAATACTAAAATCATAATTAAACGAAATAAATAAAGTTATTATTACGATATAAATATCGATAAGATGTATTTAAAAATAATTAAATTTAAACCTAGTGTTTAATAAAACATAATATTATGTTCACATGTCATGTAATACAAGGTCCTAAATATAATACATATTCTTAATTTAATTAAAAAACTGGTGTTACGTTTATATTTCAAAATGCAAGAATTATGTCGATGAATAATCTATTTGATCTTATTTGATTTTCATATTAATATAATGTATTTTAAAACATGTCAAAAGTGATCACGCTATCTCAATTAATAGGAACAACAAAACCCAACTAGAATCGACGTACTAATCAAGAATACAATGTGTTTGTTCGTACATTTCTTTTTTTTTCTTTTTTTCTTTTTTTATTGATTAGCGTGTATGTAAAATTAGTCTGCATTTACATAGATAAACCAATCGTTTGGGTTTCATAAATGTTTATAAAATATCTACACTGCACATTTGCTAAATTTCTATATTCAGATTTATTCAAGGTTCGCGAAATTTTGAACATTTAAAAAAATAACGGCCTCGAATGTCTGGCAATTTTAAAAAAGTAAATAATAATAATAAAAAGAATATATCCAAATGATTTAAACGATTGCGGCAGATATACAATAGGTACTATATACACCTCAAAAGTGGTTCGCCCACGATTCAAAATGAGATCGGCTTGCCCTTAAATACAAATCCATCGTAAATCAAACGATGGGGGCGCCAACATTCTGGTTTGCATAAATTAGAACCATAATACACCACAGGCGAGAGACATAACGTAAATACATTTTTTTTTCTCTTACTAATCCATGTATTTTAAATACATTTTGCCATATGGGGAAATTATCAGTAAAGAAGCTACACATAAAACAAGAAAAATGTCAATTAGTTTAATCGAAAACCACACATTTTATGTAATTGAAAAAAATACATGATTTTTTTCAATTTTCTAACTTTTATACAGTTTTAAGTATTTATGTTAAAATGAATATCACCTGACATTTTCAAACAACATAAAATTGTCAAATTTATAAATATATTAAAATATATTCAGTATATAATGCATACAACTTAAATACGATAAACATGAAAATAATAAATATTTTTACATTGGATAGTTATAAAAATTCAATTACTTAGAAATTATTTGCAACTAGACATCAATATATATATATATATATGGCATTATATTATTAAAATCTAATATCGAATAATATTAATAAAATTATAACTTTAAATGAATTAAAAAAAAAGAATATGCAGAGTTACATTTATATCGATACGACTATGATAATTTTAATTTTTAATTGAACATTATACAAACATTTTAAAAGCAAAGTTATTGATTTTGTAAGTATTATTTTATTATTATTATTTTTAGTACAAATAACTTGTATTCTACACAATAGTTAACAATTTAAGTCAATATCCAAATGTACTAAATCAATTTATCAAATATATGATATTTTATGCAAATACTAGTAATAGTATTTTAATATTTTTTCAAAAGTATTTTTTTACAAGATCGGAAATATTTTTTTTTCTTGTATTGAAATTTTAGCAAACTTATTATACAATTATATCTCGATAATTTTTAAGACATTTCATTAACAATCAGTTATGAATAAATTGATGAGGCTCACACTGCTAGATTCGGAGGCCAGATATGTAACTCTTAAGCATAACAAAAAAAAGATAATTTAATAATTGTAATAACATATCATATGATCTCATAACTAACCATAAATAACATAACTGATGTTTTTCAAAACTTTCAATTATATATAATATCAATTATTAATATATACTACAAATTAATAGCAATAATCTCCTTAAAAAAAACACTGATGTAATTATTACCATAGTTATGAGATGGTAAATTTAAAAAGTATGTCCTTTAAGATTTATTCTATTTTATAACATATGAATATAAATAACTTTTATAAATCATAAATTCTAATTACACAATTTTCTTTGCTTTATTTAAAATTTTTACTTTTTTTTTATAATTCGTAAATTGAAAGCATAGAAAATGTTGTAATTATATAAAACTATAATCATTTTTCCCATTTTCATTAAAATCTTTGTAAATTATTAGTACAATATTAATTCTTAGAACAATAACAATAATTTATAAATGTTAAAATAAAATGTGCTTAGTTATTAAAAAATTAATATTTTTCGACTGTTTACTAACATAAGCCATATGTATACTTTAATTATAATATATAGTATATAGTATGTCCATTGTAATTAATTAAGATTCTTTAAACAATTAATACTTTTCTATAGTTCAAATAATATTTGTAAATTTATATTTTAATATGTTGGTCACGTAAAATATAAATATAAAGTCTCAATCAAAATATTTTAAAGTATTTTTTCATTGTTTGAGAAAATTAGGTTATTAATTATTATATATTAATTATGATATTTTTAATTCAATTTTGATATATTTTGTTACCTATAGTTATTCATTTTAAATTTTTATTTTCAATCATTATTATACTATATATTTTACCATTTAATTACAGTACGTACCCAAAAGATAAAAATATTATTTAAAATTATATAAGCTGATTTATGATAAAATTACAATATTAATTTCAAAATTTGTTAATGTAACCTCAACAATTCATTTGACAAAATTATGAAAAATATATTTTTTAGCAAAACATGAGTACAATATAATATTAATTTGATAGGTTTTTACTAATATTTTTATTTTAATCTTAGATAATTGTCTAGAAAATACATTTTAAATAATTAAAAATTGAAATTCTGATATACACAAATTAATACAAAATTTACGGAGTACAAGTTAGATTATATAAATACAAATAAGTATACTATATTGCATGGAAAGCACCTGTTAAAAATAGTAAATTATAGTATATATAATTTTAAATGTTTGATATTTAGATACTTGATTTAGTATAATAATCTATAAAACACAATATTTTTTTTATCAACAATTTTAATATAAATTGCAGTATTATATTGTTTTATATTTATTCTATTAAATTAATAAAAATTAATAAATTATTAATTCAATTTAATTAAAAAAAAAAAAAAAAAATTAAGATTTTAACTATGATTGTCTTACTAAAACATATATAATCAGTTTATTTACCTCTGCCCTGTATATATTCAATAATAATTAATTTTTTTACTTTTATTCTTATTATTTTCTTGGTAGTTATAGACATTCCAGTAACAAAACAACAAATGTTATTTTCTGCCACCACAAATATAAAAAATAAAATAAAAATACTCTGCAGTTTGGAAAAAAACATTCAAAAAATTATTATTTTCAGTCCAATTTGTTAACATCGTAAATGACTAAAAAAATATAGTATCATAATTTAAAATTTAATTATGATTAGTTGTTCTCATTCTATTAAATTCTGAAATTGGATTTTGCAAGGTTGTCTTTCATTACTTTATTTGAATTAGTTTTAACTATTAGTTGATAACATCTTACTCTACGTACATATTTTACTAACTTAATTATTTTTGTTTTCTTAATATGACATAAATCAATTGCATATATTCAAATACAATAGTTGTATATAATTATAAAATATAGGATATCGTTTTTCTTTATTTACCTTGGATGAAACATGTTATATGGCAATAGCTTGTATAAAATATATTTGATTAATGATTAAGGCCGATAGTTGTTTAACTATCAACTGAAAAATAATAAAAATGTTAAAAAATGTATTATATTCAAATATTATGTATACATATTGTATCGCCAATTTAATTTAAGATTAGTTTATAAATGAATGCAATTTTTATAGACTTATAATTTACTTTTTACAATACAATTCAAAACAATCCTTCAATACACATTTTCCACATATTATGAGTTACACATCACTACTGAAAACGACTCTAAAAGTTGAATTTATCATTCAAATTATGATCGTTTTTAGATGATAAATAATAAGTATTATCCCACTTTATTTCTTATACTAGAACCCCTTTAAAATGTTTACAATTTAGTTAAGTAATTTTTATTTATTTACAAATATAAAACGCAATTATATAAAATAAACACTATAGTATAATATATGAGTATAGTAGGTACCTAGTAAATATTCAATACAAAGTATGAAATTCAAAATAACAAAATATGTTATTAGAATTGTCTTAAAATTAATGTTTAGGAATGCCAAAATAATTTCAGTATGTAAAATAAATAGACATACAAATTTTTTTAACCAAAAAGGAACTTAAACATATACTGTGGCTATATATAACATAAAAAATACGAATGAATAAAACAAAAAAATAATTTTAATCGTTAATATAATTAATAATCGTATTTTTAATTTATACTAAATGAAAATGAAAACAAATATGAACATTTGATCGTTTACAACATATTTATAAAACTTATCTCTACATTAGATGATACGTTTCTAGAAGTAATCAAGTTTATGAACTGCTAATTAGAATTCAGTTAAATCCGTATTATGTATAGCCAAAACGTAAATACTAGATGCATAACAAAGTTAATCGTTTAAACCTCATAAGGGATATGTATAATAATCGTCAATAGGTACATTAGTAGTAACTTAAATTATATACATGTTATAATAACAAAAGATTAATTTATTTTTTTCGTTTTAAAAAATAAATATTAGATAATAAGACAAGGGGAAATGTCTTCGAAAATTAAAAAAATAATAAGTATAAAATACTATACGAAAGCGAGGTAGTGCATGGAATTAATTACTATTCATTACTTTTATGAATGCAATAATTTGTATAAAATGCAGACAATGATAACTTTAATAAGCGAGAATCGCGTGTTTCTAGTAAAAAAAATAAAAAATTAAAAACAAAAACAGTATTAGAAACACACAAGGTACCGCTCGGGGGAAATTCATTTATATGTAAGAATAACGACCAAATTATATATCAGTTAATAATTATATGTACTAAGTTTTATTTTCGCTTATAGTTAATAATTGACTCGATTGTTCTTGATTGTCATCGATTAAGAAATGGTTGCGTCGCGGAAGAAAAACTGTACAGAGTAGGGATAATATAGGATTAATAAAGGTACTTATATAATGTGTCGGGTGTAGAATTAAAAAAAAAAAAAACATTTTTTCATTTTTCAATCACGCGTGTATCATTGTTTGTATAAGACTATTCGTTATATCCGTTTTTTTTTTTTTAAATTGCTTGCGATTCCGATTGTATAATATACCTATTATTATTGTCGACTTTGTGTTTTGGGTGGCCGGTGTTAGGGGAGGAGGAAGCGTTAAGAACCGAAAACCGTTAATAATGATATGTATTATCGTTTACGACGCGCACAAAGACGTATACCTACTACGTTAGTACATTATTATGTGTAGGTTTCTCCGGTTTTTTTATTTTTATTAATTTTGCTTTACAACGAAAAATTAACCGAATTACAATGCGTATACATGCGAGGTGCACCGTATTATCGTCATCGGTATCGGTGATGCAGCAATAATTTTGCGATGACGAGTATGTGTGTGTGTGTGTGTATGTGTATGTGTTTAGTGGCATATACAGGGAGGTGATGTGGAGGTCAAATCCTCCCTAGGCCTTTATTTAAATGTTATAAGACTATTTTCTTAGTATGAAGGCGTTAGAAACGTAAAAAAAAAAAAATAATGATAAAATAAAAATAAGGATTTATTGGCAAATGATCCCCCCCACTCTACAAAATTTATGTATTCGCCACTGTGTGTGTGTGTGTGTGTGTGTGTGTGTGTGCGCGCGCGTGCGCACGCGTTGCATTGTTTGACGCAACGGTCGATCGGTGTTACACGATCAATGCGGACGGCTCGAGGGGGTGTCCGACTGCTCAACTGCACCCGCACCGGTCGGCCACCATGCCGGGCAACAAGCCGTAGATGATGTTCAGGTCCTGGTCAAAGTACAGCATCGAGATGGCGGACAGCTTGCGGGGCACGCAGCACGGCCCGGTGCCCGAGTACGCGCGTGTCGTCTGGTTGGCCAGCTGGGCCAGGTACGTGTGCGGGTACTTCTGCAGGAACACCAGCGGACACTCGCCGGAACAGTAATTAGCCGTGTACTTCCTGGGCGCGATGATCCAGTCCCAGCCGAACTCGTCGAAGTCAACGGTCAGCGGGTACCGGCAGCACCGGGTCTCCGTGGACGACTCGTCGCAGTTGATGCCCAACGCGTTACGCTTGGTCCGCGAACGCCGGTTGTACTCCGTGTGCACCTCCAGGTACGGGATCTGTGCAAAAAAAAAAACATAGTGGTTACGTACGTATATTTCATGACGGCACGTCGCGCAATATCATTCGTGACACTATTATCGTTATTGTTTTCTCGTATTGTTTTCGTGCGCATAAACCGTCTAGAGTTGTGCATGTACCGCGGTGGTGGTGCACAGCGTTCCCGCGGTCATAGAAATTCGATCATACGCCAGATGTATCGCGTTCAGAGCGCGTGTCGTAAAAGCGAGATACTGAGAAAGATATATAGTGATAGAGATAGATAGAAATAGATAGAGAGAGAGAGAGAGAGAGAGAGAAACAATTACCAAATTGTGTTTTCGACGATGGCCGATGCACCCAACACTTTATTTACATCGTCGTTGTCATGTAGTTTCGCGTAGACGTTTCGAATTCGTTTTGCCCGTCCACGAATTAATTCGATTAATTCGACCGTAAGAATAATATTTCCCTTTTTTTTTTTTTTGCTTCTAACTGTATTATTTTTGTCATATGCATATTATTAACAAAATAATACCTGCTATAATAATATTATCTCAATCGTCGTTGTACTACCGTACACAATGTATTATTATTATTATACAGTTTTTACACATGTATAATAATATAAAAAGTATACTCATTGTGTATGTGTAGGAACGGCGAGAACTCAGAAAACAAAAACTAACGACACGCAAGTGTATATCAAAATATGAATAAAAAAAAAAAATTCACAAAATACTCGTATGCGACGCGCGTGTTTTTATATGCACACGTTATTTCGCGACACAAGATCCCCGATCATTGTGAAAGTCGCCTTGAATCGGCCGTCGCCACCGCCGTCCAGTAACTCTCGCACGACATTACAATAATAATATGTTATAATATGGCGAACAGAACAATCGATCGGCGGCGGCGACTGCGGCGGCGGCAGTCTGTACAGCTGCCGCACAGTCCGGGTTACATTACAGTATCGTTTTTTCGCGATACAAATTTTATATGAACTTCGTTTTGTACTGTCGTTTGTTGTTCGGCTACGGTTTTGCGCGCGGATCGCAGACGCGTTTAATATATTCCTCTGGGCCCCGTATACCTATTGCGCGCCGTCGCGATCGTCATTTCTGCGAATATTTATCGTCGTTTACGAGGTTTCGCGTTCCGACGAAACCGTATAGGTCGCGGCGCACGTCGGTACGAGCCCGTTACAAAAGGCACTATAACAATATAGTATCGTATTATATAGTGTACGTTCCAATAATGTTTTCCGTACACTACCCACTTCTTTGTTTGTGCGTACGACGGCCACCAATAAAAGTCCGTCGTCTGATCGAACTGTTTAAACCTCGCGCGATTGACGCGCAAACAATAAATAACTACGGCAACTTATGTCAAAATAATACACTGATTTATTAATTTACGTCATCCGCTCTCAACCGTTGGATACTAATTGCGTTTATCGCTTATTCGATTTCGGTCGCGTCTACCATATGATTGTATAATTTGTTTTAGGAACCAATCGTCTAATGGTATAATAAAAATGTTAGGTATTCGTAATAACTCGGTGGTTAATATCACAGTAAATTAATACACGTTTAATTGTTTAAAATAAATAAATAATAGCTAATTCGTGTTACAATAACCGTCGATTATTTTGCCAAACTATTTAAATAATAATATATTTTTTATAGTACTTACAATTATACTAACTAAAAAATAATGAGTTTAAAAAAAACTACATTTAAAACAAGTGGACGACATGTTATGTATTAATTAATAATTAACAATATGCCAAAAAAAAAAAAAATTTTAATAAATATTTCGTAATAGCTACAATCATATAAACTATGTTAAGTTTTTGTTTAGATTTTCTTTTTTTTTTGTCCATAGTATATCAATAAACTATTATGTTGACAAAATATAAAATAATAAAAGTAGAGTAATCACTGTGCGAAATAGTTTATTTATATTAACACTATAGTTATAACTAAAATTAATACTTAACTCGCATCATCCGATGCCATACGTGACGTCACCAGCAACTTGAAAACAGTTTTTCAATAAAAAACAGTAAAAAAAAAAAAAACAAGTAAAAGGATGTAAGTATTTACAATGAAATGTGGTGCGAACAAATTTTACAAAACACGAATGTTATATTAATTACCGCTACAATAAATTATACGGGGGGATAATATTTGTTATAAATATTAAATTAAATAGAATTTATAAGATGCGATCGTAGACGCATATATCTCGGCTTGCATAATATTTGACAATCATAACACCGTAACTTATCGATGTTGGGGTTTGTGTGTACGTGTGTGTGTATGTGTGTGTGTGTGTGTGTGTGTTTTCGTGCGCGTGCGCAAATGCGTACGACTAGCTACAGCCGCACTTCTCGGCCACCATGCCGGGAACCTTGCCGTAGATGATGTTCTGGTCGGTGTCGTAGTACATCAGGGATAGGGTGGACATCTTGCGGGGCGCGCAACACGGCCCCATGCCGGCCTTGGTCATCTGCACCAGATGCGTGTGCGGGTACCTTTGGAACAGCAACGGTTCGCACGCACCGAAACAGTAGTTGGCCGTGTACTTTTTCGGCGCGATGATCCAGTCCCAGCCGAACTCGTCAAAGTTGATCTCCAGCGGGTACCGGCAGCACCGGGGCTCCGCGGACGTCTCGTTGCACGTCAACCCGGACACCGCATTCCGCCTAGACCGGGACCGCCGGATCTGCCGGGTGTGCACCTCCAGATACGGGATCTAACAATATTACGGAGACCAATTGGATTAGAATCAGGAGAATGTGACGATGGTGATGGTGGTGGTGTGCATTTGTTAAATGTAATGGTGATGGTGGTGGTGGTAGTGTTGGTAGTGGTGGTAGTGTTGTATAAGATGATGGTGGTGGTGGTGGTGGTGTTGGAGGAGAGGTGCTAGCGGTACGGCGGCGGCGGTGGCAGCGGAGGCGGTGGCGGCGTCGGTGTCGGCGGCGTCGGCCAACACAAGAACAACGACTAGCAAACCGTGATCGACACGGTTTCACGGTCGTCGGGGACGATAAAACGATTTTTTTTTCGACCGAAAAACCGTAAATGGTGAGAATATAGGAAGGAGAGAGATTGAACCCTAGCATATTACACCTCCAATCTTCCGCACTTCATACACGTTTTATAGTATATATATATATATGGTATAAATATATTATTACCTATTATTATTACATACTGTATACAAGTATTTAATACCATGTGCTCACTATTATTATTATGCTATTAGGATGTCTTTAGTTTATTATTATTATTTTTTTCCACTTACAACAACCGATCAGAAAATTATTTTATCGTGCCAATGACGTAGCGCCGACGTGCGTGTAATATTCGATTATTTTTCGCATAATCATGCGCGATAAATTTAACATTATAATAAATAATATACTATAATAATATATTATATTGTTATAGCATTACAATAATTCGTGCTTAAACATGTCGTCATGTCGTACGTGTTTTATATATTGTATATTTTTTTCGTTATTATTTTAAAGACAACACTATCGTCTATGTTATAAGGCTCTACGCACAAAACTATTTGTATACAAGAACGGGTAAAAGAAGGGAATTTCAAGAGGTTGTATAGCCCCTCTTTATAACATAATATTAAGCTTTGCAGTAAGTTTCGTTCAAATGAAAAAAAATCTTTTTAAAGCTTAGCTGTTTTTAATGGGTAAAATTAAATTTTTGATAAAAGGTAGCGCAAAAAAATCAGTATCAACTCTTATTATTAAAAACACTAATAATTGTAAAATTGAAACTTGGTTTTTTAATTAAAATACTATTTTCATTATTAGCTGTATCCAATTTTCTAAAATTAACTATTAGGATGTGTTATTAAATTAATTTATACTCTCATTAATCATAACTAAGAACTATACATAAGTTTTAATATGTAATATTGAATTAAACGTGAATAATATGACAACTTATTATTATTATTCTTCAAATTTGATTTATGATTAAAATTAAATTTTATTTTTAGCAATTTATCATTGAATTTTAACTCGGAATCATGGTATTTTATTTTTAGAATACAATCTTAACTAAGATATTATAGATGTCTAAGATTTGTGTTTCTATAAAAGAAATATCTAATGAAGAAACTTTTAAAGCATTGAAAAAATTACATGATATAAAATCAATAATTATGTATAGCTTTTCCCAGTTCACGCAGAATTCATAAAAAAAATTTTTTTTAAGTTTAACTCCTTAGTTGTTTTTATTACATTATACTTGTATAACAAAACATAATAGCAATATATAAGATAAATTATTCATAGCGATAAATAATTTTCAAAACCGTTGTTCGATAATTCGGTAAATCGATAGCGTTATGTGTCCAATATTGGTTTTAGTATATTATAATGGGTTTTATATAATACAAGTATCTAAGTCAACTATTTTCATATTATTATCTCTCGTTCTCTCTTAATTTTTCTCCGACATCACCCACCTTCTTACAAACTAATCAAATACGTATAGTTTAATGTTTTTTAACTTATTCGAACCATATCAAAGTAATTTCAATTTTTATTTTGTCATAATCATGTACGTCCCATCACGTTCTTCGATAAAAATAAAAATTAAAAAATATACGTACTTTCGTCATATCATTTTTCTTGGTGTCCGTAACGTACGGCGTCTTGGCGTGGGACATATTCTTGTTGTGATAGTACGCGTGCACCATTAGCGTCAAGTTCTTAGCCCTGTCCGGTGTTTTGAACATACGTTTCTGTAAGTCAATGGGTATCCAGCCGGGCTCGGTCGTATTCATGACATGCTAAGAACAGGTGAAGAAAAATTAAAATGTATATACAATGACATTTTCGTATGCATTTCATATTGATATTGCATGATATAAATACGTGTGCGTACGCGGCACGTGAGATTCTGAAATTATAATTCCAAACGTCTCACGCTCAATAAGGGTACATAATATTATGTATACGTCGACGATGTGTGTAGTATTGCAACTGTTGTCAGCTCACCTTTATGCTGGTCAAAAGCGTCTGGTGCATGGTTATCTGGTTGATTCGATGCACTTCAATGATGACCACCGAGTCGTCGATGACGACGTCCAATTTTTTCCTGTATACCCACAGAATCGCTTGCGTAATCCTGTGCTGGCCCGTTTGCTCGGAGAACGTGAAAAAAAGTAAAGAGTGGCCTCGTAGTTTCTGTATCGTGGGATCTGTGTGCCGCATAAAAAACCGACCCCCGACAAAAGGGTGGTGGTCGGTATTTATTTTTGTTATTATTAAGATTATTATTATTATTATTTATTATTATTACTATAACTATTATTACACCATTAATCGTGTATATTATATTTTGAGTGTTTTGTTGTTGTTGTTGTTTTTGTTGTTAGTATTACTATTATTGTTACGATCGAAACGCCATCATTATAACCGCGTTAGGACGACGCCAAGGGACGAGAATCATCTACCCCAAACCCAGCGGCAATTTCCCACGCATATCACCACCATCATACCAATAACAGCGCCCCTAAAATATTTTTAGTTTGTTCGAACTTTTCTCGAATATTTCCTAATCCGTCAAGGTATACGATTAATAAAACTCAAAACAACAATATATAAATGGATATTAAAAATAATATAAATTATTTTTATTATAAAAAGGTAATTATTTGTCCAATCATCGTCTATTCATGTAGCATTATGTATTTAAGCATAATATTACATCATGGTGTATCAGATGTGAAATTCGAAAAGAAAACTGCAAAATGTTCATAATGAAACAGTAATATCTTATAATTTCTAAAATTTTAAATAAAAGAAATAAAAGTATAATAAAAACACAGTAGACCCATAAAAATGTACTTATTTTAAATGGTATATAATATGTATTTATTATAACCCTAAAGTGTGAGTTTTTGTAGGTATTCTATAAACACAAGTATGCAATGTATGCAATATATTTATTAATCATTTTATTTGTACACACATATGCACACAATGACTAGTGATTATCAGTGTTATAAAATATTTTATACAAACGACACAAATTAGTTTTATTTGAAAGCAAGAATTATAAGAATGTTAAAAGCACCCATAAAGGACAGATGACATTTAGTGTTGGATAACAATCACAATAAATCGCAAATATCGCAATCCTAATAAAATAAAAAAATAGAAATAACATGAAATATACTAAACAATTGGTAGTAAAAATGTGTAATTTGACTGCGATGGTAATCACTTATTTTCATTCTAAATCAGGGATCTGATTGTATCGGGTTGTTAACAACTAAAATGTAAAAATAAATTTTTATGGAAGAAAATGGAACAATGGGTTATGCAAGGGAATGTTTGTACTTATTTATCGTTTTGATAATATTACGATCTATTAACTATGACCAATCGTCTCTTATGTTTAATGAATAAGTCGTTAATTGTTTCATTTTCTCTTTATTAATTCTCCTATGTATTTGGTGTGAAGCGTAGTTCGAAAGTTATATCCCACCACAAGTGGGATTTCATCCATTTTTTTCCTTTCTTATATTAATTAAATCAAAAAAAAAAAAAATTATTTTTAAAATAAATTTAGCTACCAAACTCGCCACGTGGTGTTATTATAAGTTTATCGCCCAAACCAAGCAGCGATTATCGTTATATGTTATAATACATAATGGCTTACGCGTCGCACACGTACAATGTTACATTAGTGATATGATAATTATTTTCGACCTTTCTTCACGACTTCAAAATGTATTTATTTCAACGAATGCACTGTCAGAATGCAAAATAAAGAATTTTTACGCGGCCGGTATAAAACTTCCTCGGTGTTCTTCGTGCCAGGTGATCGTATACGCGGCGGATGCATATGATAACATCCTTACGCTGCGCACACATATACGGGTTTAAAATCACTGGACAAATGCGAAAAACAATAACGTCGTTTTAGATTAGTCTCTGTAGCGACGATGACAATGCGTTGCTTCAATATAATATAGTAAATAAATATCGAATTCAACGACGAAGAAAATAAAACGTAAAACGCACAATGGGAGTAAGGGAGGTGGGGAGTAAAAAAGGAAAAAAAACAGGTTAAACCCGTCGAGAAACAATAATTACGCTATGGATAATAATTCACATTTCTCGGTACAGCTACTTTATGGTCTACGCGTCCATCGTATTCGGCGTATGCGCAAGAATCCGTCATGTATAATTTGACACACTTTAATATCCCTTTCTTCCTTCGTCTCTCACATCCTTCGTTCCTTTCCGACTTCGTAATAATCTCCGTCGGCCCAACGTATTGTACGTTTAAACGCGTCAAATGTACACATCGCATGCCTTTGTTGTGTATGCTATACATACGTATTACCATTGTCATTATCATTATTATTATTATTATTATTATTATTATTATTATTATTATTATTAT